AGTAAAGAAACAAACCCACGAGGGAAGCAATTCAACAGCTACTCCACGACCACTGTCTCTGTGTCCTTAACAACGCAGAAAGCACTTATTTTCATCAGCCAACAGGCCTTCCATTCCATTGACCTTGCTATTGTTTCTCCACAGCTTTTGCCTTTTTGTTTTTTTAATGTCGAGAATTATCTATATAATAGCGATCATTTTCCTATTATCATAAGCATTACAGGAAATAGGAGTGTGTTTATACCTAGAACACCACGCTTTTTGTTGGACAAAGCCGACTGGGACTCTTTCACACATTATGCTCTTTTCACTGAAGAAATAGTAAAGAATGTGCACATTGATCAGGCTGTGAAGATCATTACAGATAAAATTATTCAAGCAGCTAATATATGTGTACCAAAATACCCAAAGCCCTGGTGGAATCCTGAATGCCAGGATCCCATCAGAAAACAAAGGAAAGTTTGGAGCATTTTTCGGCGATATCCTTCAGAATCAAATCTCATAATATTCAAAAGAGCTAAAGCAAAAGCTCGGCAGGTGCGAAGGAAAAGTCAGAATTCTTGGATCTCGTATGTATCTTCGATTAGCTCTCCAACTTCGAGTAAGAAGGCCTGGAAGAGAGTCCGGAAAGCGTCCGGTATCTACAAAGAGCACACACTTTCCATTTTAAAGACAAGTGGTGAAACAGTTACTAGTAGGGAAGGAATTGCCAACGCTATTGGACAGTTTCTCAGCCGTCTCACACAGTAGTAACTACCCTCTTGAATTTCTTTCCGCAAAAAAATGCATTGAAAAACAACTAATTAATTTCAAATCTCCCGATACTGAACCATATAATCAGGATTTTACTGTGCTTGAACTGAAAAGAGCTCTGTTGCAGACAAAAAATTCATGTCCTGGTCCAGATGATATTGCCTATCCTATGCTGAAACATCTTCCTTCCAAGTTACTGGCAGCCATCCTCTTTCTCTTTAATAGAGTATGGAAGGAACAAGTCTTTCCAAATGCCTGGAAAACAGCTTTTGTCATCCCCATTGTTAAACCGAGAAAATACCTTACTAATCCGTCAAATTACCGCCCCATCGCTCTAACTAGCTGCCTCTGCAAACTCTTTGAAAAGATGGTCAACACTCGTCTGGTCTATTATTTAGAGACAAATAATTGTATCTCCCTTTATCAGAAGGGTTTTAGAAAAGGAAGAGCAACAGTCTATAATATCCTACTCTTAGAAATAGGTATCCGTAGAGCGTTCGTTAGAAGAAATCATTATTTCCATTTTCTTTGATATAGAGAAAGCCTATGATACCACCTGGAGATACGGTATCCTTCGTGACCTATATAGCAATGGTTTACGAGGAAACATGCTGATATTCATCAAACATTTCCTACAGGATCGTAAGTTTCATGTGAAGATAGGCGATACACTTTCTGACATGTTCCATCAAGAAGAGGGCGTTCTGCAAGGAAGTGTATTAAGTGTTACATTATTTAGTATAAAAATTAACTCTATTTTAAAACAACTGCCTCCAGCAGTCCAGGGTATGCTCTACGTCGATGACCTGCAAGTCAGTTGCTAGGGAGAAGACCTGAAAGACATCGAATGTAAATTGCAGACATCTCTCAATAGAATTGTTAAATGGTCGCAGGAAAATGGTTTTAGATTCTCTACTGAAAAGACTGTGTGTACATTTCTGTCGAAATAAAATTCCTCACCCTGACCTCGAATTTTATTTGCAAGATGTGCTGATTCCTGTAAAAAAGGAAATAAAATTCCTAGGAATGATATTTGACCATAAGCTTACGTTTCCTTCCCCGTATTACCTATCTAAAAAAGAAATGTTTAAAAGCTATGAATATTCTGAAAGTACTGTCAAATACTTCTTGGGGTGCTGATTGAGGCTCAATGCTTCTTATATATAGAGCTCACATTCGTTCGAAACTAGATTATGGATCAATCATTTATGGGTCGGCAAGGCCTTCAGTATTAGCCAAACTTGATCCATCACCAAGCACTTCGCATATGCACTGGCGCCCTTAGAACTTCTCCAGTGGAAAATAACGAGACCTCCATGCGGTTAAGAAGTGAAAATATTGTTTCAAGCATTATTTCAAAGTCTTATCACAAACCGAAAATTCTACGCAGTCAAAATTGCTTAATGACCAATACTCTCGTTTATATCGGGCAAGACATCATGTGTCCCATCTTTCGGCTTGCGGATGAGTGCTTTGGTGGAGGAGGAGAATTTTTTTGGAATTCCTCCCTGGGAGGATTGGAGAATCCATTCTCTGGATACTTTTCGACACTGGAGTAAATCATAAACTAACGAAATCATCTACAAGCAGATTTTTTTTAACATAGAAACAAATATAGGAAATATATCCCTCTATATACAAACGGATCAAAATCCCAGGATATGTTGGCGCCGCTTTCGTCACAGAGAAAACAATAGTAGAGGTTCGATTACATACAGTTTGCTCTGTGCTTACTTCTGAACTTACTGCAATCCATCTGGCTTTGACTTACCTTTCAAAACAAAAGTACATGAAGTTTATTATCTACACAGATTCTATGAGTGCCTTAATGTCATTGGAAAATCACGCTCAATGTACTCATCCAGTTGCAACCAGAATCCTGAAGTTGAATTATTCTTTAAGAATTCGGGGATACCAGATTCTTTATTCGTGGATCTCTGGGCACGTTGCCATTAAGGGGAATGAATTGGCGGATATTGCAGCTAAAACTGCAACCACAATGTACAATCTTCGGATTCCACAAGCAGACATCAAAGGGTTTGTCAAAAGCAAAATTCTCAGCAAATGGCAGAAGCAATGGGATGACAAAGTATATAACAAGCTGAGAAATGTAAAACCCACCATTGGATACTGGCCGTGTATGGCTAATAGAAAGGAGGATGTCCTCTTGACTCTAGTGAGAATTGGCCATTACCGCCTGACCTATGAGTTATCTTCTGAAGGGCGAAGAGAATCCAGCTGCCCAAACTGCAATGCAGATCTGACAGTCCATCATATCTTGGTGGAATGCCAGAGTTTTATTTTCGCCAAAAACAATTTTAATTGTTCAGAACTGGACTTAAAAAATTTAATTGGAAAAACACATCATCGTAATTTGTTTCTGTTTTTAAAAGATATTGGCTTTTATGATAGACTTCAACCTGTTTTTCAAAAGATATCAGCTTTTATCATAGATTGTAATCTCTTTTTACCCAAGCTGGAAGTTTTCACAAATTACTAATTGCATTGTTACCATTTGTCTGGCGCAGATAACCTTGACAGGTTTTTGTGCCAAATTACAATAATCCAATCCAATTTCCTTGACTCGAAGACACAAAGGTGCCCGTTTATGTTGGGCAAAAGAACGTCAGCAATGGGTGTCTGTTCTCTTCACAGACGAGTCCAGGTTTACATTGGGGAGTGATTCAGATCGTCACTTGATCTGGAGGGAACAACGCACCAGATGGCAACCAATCGCACATTGTACAAAGACGGTTACAGAGGTGGTGAAATAATGTCTTGGATTGGGATCTGTCTCGGTGGTCACTCTCATCTGCATGTGTTCCATGGAGGAGCTTTGACCGGTGTGAGATATCGAGACGATATGCTGCTCCTATTTATCTTGGATTTCTTCTGATGAACGACAATCCGCGACCGCACCGAGCTCGGGTTGCTGAAGAATATCTTAGGGTCACGGTATGGAGCGGATGGAATGGCCAGCTCCACCCTCAGACCTGAATCCGATACAGCATCTTTGGGACTACCTTGGGAGATCGGTTGCATCTTTAAATCCTCCAAGGTTGTTAGGTGATCTTTAACAAGGATTACTCCGTGTGTGGTGGTTGCTTTCCATTTCACTGTCCGACAACTTAACTGACAGCATGGAACATCGCCTGCAAATGTAATTGCATCTAGGAGTGGACACATTCCTTATTAGAACCTATTTTTGTGAAGTTACTACCCCATCCATTTTTACGCAGGAAATTGTGATACTAGGTCTCAGAGTGGATTTCTCTGCAGAGAATGCAATGTTTTGTTGTAATTCATGTTTGTGTTGAACTTTAGAAACATTCTTTCTCGCATATATTAAACTGTTTATTGAACATGTCCTCTAAATTTCTGGTTTCGGAGTTGCTTCGTTCTCAAATTAGACCCAAAAAAACATGCTCATCCTTAACTTTTGGATATTTGTGTAGTTCAAGATTCTCTTGAAGTTTCTTCCACAAAGCCATTGCTTAAAGATTAGATTTTATGTACTTAAAATTTTAACAGTATGATTCTTAAAGTAATCTGCACGGGAAAGTTGAAAATCTTTTTGAATTTTCTCTACTGCATGCCAACATGCACCAACTTTTTACTTCCAGAGGGTGCTATAGTGATCGAATGGTAAAACTGCTGATTACTCGACCAGGGCTCGAAACCTGACGATCGCGCTGGTTGCGTAAGTCTTCCCTTGTACAAAGTAAATACCAGTCAGTTTCATTGTATAATTCTCCACGAAGATGTCCTAGGGAACGTTGGTGCATTTGTTCCTACAGAAAATTGTTTCGCTCATGTAATACTTTGACGTAAGATCAATCTTTAATATTATTGAAACTGTTCCGCCCTTATTGGCCTTTTATTAATTTAATGAATTTGTCTTTTGTAAAGAAATTGGCAAAAGCGAGTAATTCTGAAACTTTAATCCTTCAATCATTGCATGAAATGCTGAGACTTGAATTAAAAAATTTCGCCTTTTCTTAATGTTGGTAATAAGAACTGAATATTAACGTTACCAAACAAAACATTTGTGAATGTTGAAAATATATATCGATCTTCGAACATAGGTAGTTGTTGCATTAAACAAGTAAGTATGCTCTAGGATGGCAATGACGATACACGGTCAGATGGATTCAAAAACATCACAGTAATTTCTACATGATGTGTTAAAAACTAGTTAATGGTGATGCTTCTTAACTGCATCTTATTGAAATTGGTTTACTTTTCAGGAAAGCTGATGAGCCAGCTGCCAGAGCAAGGTTCATTCCGTGTTGTCCAACCGTAACTGACCGTAAGAGAAAGCTTACAGAAGTAAAGAAACTGTTTTTGAAATTTTATGCCAGGATTGAACGAAGACCCAGCCAATAGCGTGCGTCGACAAATAGAGGGTGAAGATGATTTGTAGATCAGTAATTGGCTAGTGACTTTAGACTTCTCCAATTTGAATGGAAGTTTTGGATGCAGGAAATCTGCACTTTACGTACACATTCAAATTAGTGATATATTTTAATGGCTTGTATTAAATTTTATTATGGCTTGCTCTCTGAATGTTTCTTGATATTTTAATTCTTATATGAATTATAACGAAATAAACTGTTTATTAATTTTACTTGTATTCATTATCTTGTGTAAAGCAGTTTGCTCATTTGCTTTGGCAATGAAAAATCTTCCCTTTCTGAACTTATTTGATGATTAGTAGACTTTTACTTATTTGATGATTAGTCAAACTTTTAAACGTTTTCAATATCCAGTTGTCGGACTTTGCCTTCCATTTTACTAAACATGTTAACATCTCTCAAAACTAATCCATTGTCGACGGTCGGTATTTTGAATGCTCTTCCTTAAAAAGTCACTAATATATTCATAAATTTCTATTGAAAAATCTAAAATCTGGATGTATTAATGCATTCACTCCCTAGCGTCAGTTAAATCCGTCATTAATTAATTACTTCAGTGCAACTAATGCTACTTATATCTGGAATTCACTAAACGCTCTTCCCTGAGACGCTTATTCCCGTTAACGAATTGTGACGAACCTGCATTTTTCCATGGCGGCCCGTAGAGCAATCACAAAACATCCGATGGTTCAGTTTTTCTAATGCTATTTATTATTCGTTATATTTACATATTTACAACTGTCCTATTGTTAGGTGGACTACCTTCACAGAAATCATGTTGCCTAATCAAACGACATTTCGTTTCTACTTACATGCATTGCGCTACTGCCAAGCAGCGCCCTCTACTTCTCTCTTTACAACACTCCCCACCTGTGAACTCTTTAAGTTCACAGAAACCGAATACAAAATAAACCATAATTTCTAAATCAAACACAACATTTGAATACTATATAAACTACATCAAATTACAAATAACAATTAAGTAATGTTTAAACACGTTAAATCAACTTATAAAGTAATTACTAAATAAGAAACATTATACTAAATCAAAATTCCCAATAATTATATAAACTAAACTACATTTAGCAAAAATCAAAGATATTCAGAAGATGACATATGTGCAAACAACAAATTAGATTATTACACTGTAACTCTTTACTACTAATTATGCACTTCAAGGTTGTACAGCAATTGTACTGGTCTCTTTAGATTACCTGTTTGAGTTTTAATGAGACAAGATCGAATTTGACCATCTCTGTCAGGATAAGTTTCTATTATCTTACCTAGTGTCCACAAATTCCTAGGTAAACGGTCGTCATGTACAAGGACTACATCATTAACATTAAACTGACCAGACACTTTAGTAGGTGGACATAAATTCACAGATCTTAAAGAAAGCAAGTAATCCTTCCTCCACCTATTCCAAAAGTGGTTTAACAAGGTTTGTTGATGTTTTATACCTTTTGATCAAGGAATGTCTAGACCCAATCAAGTCTTCTCTGCACACTCTTGTAACTGGAAGAGAAAGTAAACGTTTTACCAATTAAGAAATGAGCAGGAGTTAGCGGTGAGGGTTCTGAAGGGTCATTGTAGACATACGTTATGGGTCTTGAATTAATTATGGCTTCGATTTCTACGAAGACTGTTTCTAGCTCATTCAAACAGAGACTAGAACGTCCAACTATTTTCCTTAAACAAGTTTTGATCGTTCTAAAATGCCTTTCCCAGAACCCTCCCCACCATGCTCCTTTTTCCACAATAAACTTCCATGTTATACCGTGGGAAGAAAACAAATACCGTGGGAAGAAAACAAATTTTGTACAGATGGATGTTGAATACACTTCCAAATTTTTCGCAACTCGAGATCAGCACATTTGAAAGTCTTGGCATTGTCTGAATATATCGTTGAGCACAATCCACGACAAGAAATAAACCTGCGAAACGCAAGCATAAAATTCTACACGCTCATAGAAGGGACAAGTTCTAGATGTAAAGCTCGAGTTGTAGCACATGTAAACAAAAGCAGATAATGTTTATTCTTGCTGTCCTTTGTAAAAAAGGGACCAGCATAATCCAGCCCTGTTACAGAAAATGGAGATGATTGAAGAACACGATCAGGTGGTAAAGGAGCGGTTTCCTGTGTACCGGCACGCACCTTGTATCGTTTACACAAAAAGCACTTACTTAACGTGGACTTGACGAATTGGCGTCCTTTTATGATCCAAAACTTTTCTCTAATATCGGCTAAGGTAGCTTCGACTCCAGCATGAAACAATTTGTTATGAGACTCAAAAATTACTAGTTCACTGTATCTATCTTTATAAGGTAACAGCCATGGGTGTTTTTTTTTCTTCGAAAGCAAAGTCTGAGAATTGAAGTCTGCCCTTTAAACGCAGAAGACCATGGGTATCCAATTCTGGGTTAAGTGAATAAATCGACGATGTCTTTTCTAAGCATTTTCCACTTGATAGATCTAGAATCTCTTTCGCAAAGTATTTTCGCTGTGTAACTTTTACCCAATAGAGCTCAGCTCGCGAAATTTCAACAGAGCTTAATGGACCTTTGACTTTCACTGAATTTCGTTTTATATTGTTGGTAAACCGCATAGCATAAGCCGTAATTCGATACACCTTCATCAGCCTGCTGAATCGCGTTAACTCTAGTAATGCCGAAGATTCTACGTCTTGAACAGAAACATGAAGAGATGTTTGCACCCTTGCTTCGTTCTGAACGCTCTCCTCGTCGATGTTGGTCTGTTGATTTACTGGCCAAACACTTTCAGGTTGAGACAGCCAGCTAGGTCCCTGTAACCAAAGGGAACTTCTCACAAGATTAAAGGCATTTTCTCCTCGAGATAAAAGGTCAGCAGGGTTTTCACTCCCACTGCAGTGAAACCAGCATTCAGGATCCGTGAGTGACTGAATATCAGAAACTCGGTTTGATACAAAGGGTTTCCAGTTTCTTGCACATCCCTTTATCCAGTAGATAGTTATTTGGCTATCACTCCAAAGAAACTTTTGATGACACAGTTCAGGAAACAGCTTTGTCAAATACATAGACAATTTGGCGGCTACTAAAGCAGCCATCAACTCCAAACGAGGTAAAAGTCATAGTCTTGAGTGGAGCTACGCGACCCTTTGCGGTAATGAAACTGGTGCAAATAATGTTTTCTGAATCAAGGTATCTAAAGTATGCTACTGCGCCGTACGCTTTAGGGCTAGCGTCAGCAAATACATGAAGACTAACATTAGATTTTTCACTACTACCAAAATATTTTCTCGGAAGAGAAAAATCCTCCAACACCTTTAATTCAGCTTGCCAGCGACTCCAGTCCTTAATTATTTCTAATGGAAGGGTATCATCCCAGTCCACACCTAATGTCCAAATTTTTTGTAACAGAATTTTCATTTTCATCACAAAGGGTTGAAACACACCAATTGGATCGTAAACTTTGGCCACCATTTGGAGAATAGTCCTTTTTGTGGCCTCAGCACTGTCATGGGATAAATTTCCTAAAAATTCGCAATTCAACTTGATCTTATCTGCTTCAGAGTTCCAGATCATGCCCAAAAATTTTGACTCTTTAGCTGGTTCTATGTTATAACCTTTTCCAATCCACCAGGAATTAAGTTCCTCGGAATTTGACCTTAATTTTCTCAAATTCATCTCAGCGTCTTTAAAAATCTTAACCGCGTCTGAGGATAATCGACATGCATCTTCAATAGTGTCTGCACCGTAGTATAAATCGTCTACATATAACGAGGAATCTAACATTTCATAACTTTCTGGATTTGTGCTTTTATATTTTTTAATGTGGAATTTTATCGTCATCGCTAAAATTGCTGGACTACAGCAAAGTCCGAATGGAAGACGTTTAAACCTTAAAACTTTATATTTTTCCTCACTATTCCCGAACCAAAGAAATTTTAAATATTCCCTATCCTTTTCTAAGATTCCTATCATTAAAAAGGCCTTAGCTAAATCTCCGCTGAAAGCAATTTCATATTTCCGAAATTTTAAAATTATGTCCAAAACCACGGGGATCAAACTAGGTCCAATGTCTAAAAAATCATTTAAGGACTTTACACCTTTAGTTCTAGAAGAGCTCGCGTCGTAAACAATCCTACACCTTGTGGTTTCCTTAGGTTTTATTATTTCCCTGTGCGGCATAAAATACGATGCCTCCGTTATTTCCTGTGAACACTTCTCAACTATACCCTCCTTCATTTGCTCTTCAATTACGGATTTATACTGCTGATAAATCTCAGGATTTCTAATAAGTCTATTTTTAAGACTTTCAAATCGTCTTAATGCTACTCCGAAATTATTTTCTAACTTGCCCTGCTTCCGATTTCCATAATAAACTGACATAGTATCTATTACCTTCTACCCGTATTTCCTTTTCAAAGCTTTGAATCATTTCTCTCACCTCGTTAGAAATCGCTGAGTCATCGGTAAGGCCCATCAAATCTAAAGTCCATAACGATCGCAATGAATCAGTTACGCAAGAAGAAAGGTTTACTATTGCCGTGTTTTGAGATACTATTTCGCTCTCTTTATCTTGAAGGCCAACTGGGACCCATCCAAACATAGTAGAAATCGCATAAATTTCCTTTCCTAATTGAATCTTTTCCCCCCTTACCATCTTCCAGTAATAATCCACACCTATTAGAATTCCAACGCTTCCTTTACATAAACAAGCGATTCGCAATCCGCACTCATTCATCATTTTTAGTGTTTCTTTTGACGGCGTGGTCATATGCGCAGCCGTAATGGCGTCAGTGACGAGACAGCTGATTTTTATTTTGTTCTTTTGCTTCGCATCTGAAACACAGAATTCGACAACCTTATATGTTTTAGGTACTGCGTATTTCATTCCGAAAGAATAAATAGACAATGTTTCTTCTCCAACAAATTTTAAGTTTAATTTCTTAACTACACTAATATGAACAAAACTTCGTGTAGCACCACAATCGAAAATTAAATTAGTTAACTCTGACTTTCCGTCATAATGAGCTAACACTGAACAGGTTTGCAATAAAGCATTTTTATTCAATGATTTATCACAAGGAACAACAGAAAGCGTGTGTTCTTTCGGGGAGTTTTGTGTTTCATCTACTGAATTGTCTCGCGAGCTTTCGCACAATTCTTTTATGTTTTGATTTGAAGCCGTTCGCGCTTTGTTACGATTTGAACTACTCGTACATAGTGA